TTTAATAAAAATATATTTTATAGTATGAATTATTATATTTTTATTTATACTAATTTTTTTAAAATATGATATTTTAATTTAAAAGTATGCAAATCTTGAAAGTATTGTTGTCTAAATGATTAAAGCCTACATAAATCTTAAAAGCATGAATTTGGCGTGATCGACACAAGAGGTGTAACGATGAGGAAACACAATAATTTTTTCATCACGTTTCTAAATCTTAGAAGATTTTTTTTAAGAGTTTAAAGTGGAGTTGTTACCGAAATAAATCTTGCTAAGTTTCGCTCAGTTCAAACGAGACGAGTTCCAGCTAATCAATTCATGAAAAATAGAGGTTTTCACGTAACTAATTAAATTTTATTCAAGTTCAATTTTGTTTGTTGAGATTTAATTCAACTCGTAATATTAGTAAATGAGTCGAGCTCGTCGGTTAGAATAGGTAGAGTATCAAATGCTCGACTTCTGAGTGGCAAATTTACATCGCTAATCAAAAGTTGTTCGAAAGGGCAACATTTTACACATAGCCTCAAATGTCAATAAAAATTATATGGAGTAATCGGATGGTTTTCTTATGGAACCATCTGTCACTTAATGTATTGACACATGTATAAGTTGTATTTTATTGCAGAACATGTGTTAATAATCTATTAGTAAATAAATGTGGATGACTCCCTAAGTGGAGCCATCCGATGACTCCATAGTAAAACTGCAAATGTCAAATTGAACATTTTTCATCAATTAATACAAATTTGTGGGGATATGGGTGTGGAAATTTTATAGTATTAATTGTAATGCCCTATGGACAGCATTCTCCTATTTAGACGTGGCCAAATCTCAGTCCAGGCCGGGCCGGGCCCAGCTGGTCTCCGAGTTTGAAATGATCGACCTGGAACCAGCCCTCATCTAGGTATGGGACGGGTACACCGTACACGACCCCTATTTGAGATTCATCCTTAAAAAATTTGAAAAAAAAAAGTTCTACCATGGGTTTCTCCCAAGCTGGCCCGCCAAGTCATGTACTACATACGTATGAATCCAGGCACGGGGCCAGACTCGTGTTTCACGGGTCTGTCTGGGCCGAGTGATCCGTGCCCATGTCTACTCCTATTGGTGTGAGAATAAACTCCCTTGCCATCCATGTTCGATTTAATAATTTGTTGATTTTAGGAATGCCTAGTTATATTAATTTGTGAGAAGGGGTGGTATTTTAGTATATATAATATTAAACATAGTGAAATAATAAAGTCGTTAAATCTAGTCCTACGTGGGTAAAATATATTGTTTACTAACATTCAACGGGCTGAAATTGTTATTTAGATGGCTGGAACACGACATTATTGAGGTGTCGTATCCCCGTCGAGTTTTAGACCTGCAACTCTATAAGGCCTTCGACCTACTTTTTTGTACCGAAAAAAAAAAATTGTTACTTAGATGAATCTTTTACAAAATTAAAAGTTTGATAATTCTTATTTACTGTTTTTCTACTTCCAAAACAATATAGATATGCCACTGTTCTGAAGAATGATTAATATTTTTTATTTTTTTTTAAATAAAATAAATATTTAAGATCGAACACATTGTGTTAAAATGACACTCTACATCACAATAAATAATGTGAACATCATTTTGCTAATTCTTAACAGTTTAGCTACAATTACGAGATATTATAACATTTCGAATAGCCATTTTAGTACAATTGAAACATCAATTTTGCTATTATTAGCGTTTTGGGCCACAATTATAGCATTTCAAAAAATACCATTTTAGTAAAATTTGACGAGTAGCTGAAAGTTGCATGAAATAGTATTGTAAAACAATTAATATCAGCAAAATTTGTGGCAGTAAATAAATGTAGCAACATTGGAAAGAAAATGTGGGCGAGGGACCACGGGTTAATGAAACCAACCATTCATGGCAAGGGACTGGTCAAAGTGAGTCTCCACCAATCAATTAATAGCATCTTTTTGTATTTATTTTTGTATGAAATGTTATTATGATCTACAATGGGTAGGGCCACAAAGTGCAAACGAGCTGAGTCGAGTTGAACATTGACCTTATTGAGCAAGATTGAATTTTTTAGCTGCTCGAGCTTGATTTATGAGACTCGAGCTCGAATCGAATTAATAAATGATTGAACTCGGCTCGAGTTCGGTATGGAATTTCTTACATACAACTTTGTGTTTCTTTGTAAATAAAAGATTTACTCCCACATTCAGTAAATGATTTACACCCACATTCAGTAAATGACAACAAGAACAATTCCGAACAAAACAAGGGATCAAATGACAATAAGAAAAAAAGGAAACGAGGTCCATTCTTGGTGATGCTTGAAAAACAAAAGAAAAAACATCAGTAGCTTCCATTTACAGCTTGAAACAAGTTAGACTTAGTAAGTTTCCCTCTGACCATTCAATTCACCTTAAACAAGAAGTTTCTGTAGAATGGCTAGCAGCACCAGCTGGCATTCAACCTACTCAATTAAAAACATGTTCACGGCCAACTTGTACCATGGGTAGGTTAGGGGTGTACACATCCGACTCACCCCACACAAACGAGGCATTTGTGGGGTCCATGTTCAGCATGGCCCTCTTCACGCCGGGTGAGGAAGGTAAACCCACTGGGCTCTCATGGGACGTGAGGCAGCTCTCAGTCGAGCAGTCGGCTGGTTGCTGATGAAGATTTGGAGGGATTTCCACTGTGCTAGGAGCAGGGGCTACTAATGGGCCTGCTGCAGATTGGTCTGGGTATGATGATATTTGTGGGTTGGGGGAACTATTGGGCAGGGCCTTTGACCCATTTCCTAAGTTGCCATCCCCATCGGTGGTGGCATAAGGGGACCCAAGGATTTGATCGGCAAGCATCTTGCAGGCTCGTTCAAGCATGGCCATGTATCTTTTCTCAGCATCTTGGCGGATCTGTAAATGTTTTTCTGCCTGTGGATAATAAATACGTTAAGGCAGAAGAACAATACAATCCAATGCAGCATATCTTTTTTTCTCATGTTTTCCTAATTATTTCTATATATTTTGGGATTTTGCTTGATTATTATTTCTATAGGGCGTAATATATTGCTTTTCCTAATCTTGTGTTTGCATTAAAAAGAATTTCAGCAAATGAGTATAACTTGTATTATAATGAAAACTGTGGACAAACATATGTTCTTATTTCTGAATGGTGCAAAGTGGACAGATCCTACCCGGAATGAAGGATGTAAACTTGTCATTTACAAAGAAATTTGAAATTTCTGTGGCTATGATGTAAAGTCAGATGAGGGTTGCTTACTTCAACTTGCAAGTGTAGCTTGCTTTGAACCTCCATTTGCACTCTCAAAGCCTCCTTGACTTCATAACCCCTAAGTGTATCATCAAATAGTTAAAATTTTTCCTGAAGTTTCCACTGGCAAATAATTGAATCACACCACTGGCTTTCAGGAAAAACAATTCAGATCCTTACTCATTCACATCAGATGCTTGTAAGTTCTGAGAATGGCTTGCACGAGGGCTATCCATAAGGTATGCGCCTGAAAGTCCAGCATCCACAAATAAAGAAGCAAATTTATTACTTGGATGTCCAACTAGAAGAACAGTTGCCATGATTTTTCTAAAAAAACCAAATGATATAATCGAAATGACATCCTAATTTTGGCTAAAATCCTGCATTTGTTACACTTATCCATCTGAAACTTTGTTTTGGATTGGAGATATTGTAGGAATGGGATGGGCTTCAGTGGATACATCTTGCACATTTTCATAGTTAAGGTAAATTACAATAAATTCATCTCAAATTTGTTATGCTAGAGCGGACTCGTCAACTTTTTTTGAATAAATAGTTCCGAAGAGTGCACTTCAGTAAGACAAAAGTAAATGTCGGGTGATAACTCACATCTTTGAAAGATAATAAATAGGTCTGATTTTGTTATTGTTCTTTACTTTTCCTAAATAGTCTAAGACTAATAAACCTCAAGGGTAGTTTGTAATTATTCCTCGTACTTATGCTACAATATCTCCGTTCCTTCCTTTCTAGAAGGCAAAGGTAAGAGGTGAAAAATTCATGCTCGGATATAATGCTTGAATTGGTTTTAATGACATGGGTGAACTGAAAGAACTATAATGAAGACAACCAAAGGGAACCGGACATACCATCTTTCGAAGCCTCACCAAGTTCTTTCCCAGATTGCTTGCCGAGTCTGTATTTCTGCAGAAAGCAAGAAATATCCAGTCAAACTAGTAGGGAGACGATTACACAAACAAGATGTACGAAGAATTTAGCTGGCATACAAACAGAAGAATCGCATAGCTAATACGAGGAAAATGAAGGCAAAACCTGCAGATGACTCTTCAAGTGAAACAGAGTTAATCCCTTAACTCCCATCGTGCGCAATATAGCTTTTGGAGTCGCTTCTGTAAATAGAGTCGGATTCAATATATCAAAGTTGAAAAGAGAGAACTCTTTCATATTAAGGGTCTTCTATAAACCACAAATTATCATGCTACAGGTCTTGTTGCCTACTCAGATTAAAGATGCAGACTAAATGCAAAAACCAAAAACACATGCAATGGCAAGCATACATCCTCCTTTTGGCTATACGATAACTATAATTGGATATACCACAAAGCTCAAGGATTGAACTGTTCAAAGTTGCCGATTTTGCACGCCGAGAACCGGTAAAACTCACATGATTGGAAGTCTTTGCTTAATATACCACATTGTTATCAACCATTATCATCCACAAAGAATAAACAAGTAGCAAAGTTTAACAAGATTTGTGATAATTGAATCACCGGCCGCGGATTTGACTACAACCCGGTGGACTGAAACACCGCATTTATTTTGAACTAAAAGGCCATTAATGAACACAAAAACTTCAAATTCTCCCCACTCCGAAGCTCACGAAATTTCTACTACACAGTTCAAATATTTTGAAGATCCAAACCAGTCACAAAAGAAAACTACTTCCTTCCACTCATCAGCATCCATCCTCGATGCAAAAAAGGGAATACGTAATGATCCAATTAATTTAAATAGGTGAACAATAATGTTGAGGGAGGCAAAAAAAGAACAGAATAAAATTCAAATAAAAACAAAGGGAAAGCGAATGCTAACTGCTGGGTCCACCAAGCTGGGTAACGGCGTCGACAAACCGCTCATGGAGGTCAGCCGTCCACCGGAGCCTGGGCTTAGGGTCGGATGTAAGGACCAAGCACGGGTCCCCACCAACGCGTTGACCGTACCCCGTGACCTGGATGCTCTCCGGGCTTAAAAGGGCCTCACGGGGCTGAATCAATCTCGGGAACATCTGGAGACGGACTGAACGGTCCGGTTCGGGCCGGGCCGTTGGCGATGGCGGTGGTTAGGAGGAAGAAGAAGAAGGAGAAGGCTCCGGGACTTGGCAAAGCAAAGGGGATCTCAATATTTGAATTTTTTTTGAGTTTTTTTTAGTTATTATAGTGGCAATGAGAAGAGTTGGACTATCCTTTTCGTAGTTGGTGTAGTTTATCTGCTGCCATTGAAATTGATCTGCAGTGAATCAAAGAAAATGGATTTGACCCGGGCCCCAGTGAGGGGCTTTGGTAAAGTTACGGGCTTTATTGACGGTGGTTAACCGGCGGTGAAAATGGGGTAGCAAGGATCACGGGCAGAGAAAAGAACAAGAATTTTTACAGTGAAAAGACAAGGGGCAGACTGTATGTGCAGTAAAGTAGCTGTACGCTACGCTCCAATTGTTGTATTCGGAGCGTTGCCCGACTAATCCGTTGGTCGACCCGAGTTGCATACTTGACAATGATGGATGAGTCTCTTAACAACGATTTTCTGTATTCACAAGGACTCGAACCCGAGTACTTGAGCCAACATGTTTTTATTTATTTATTTAAATGGGCTTTCACACAGGGGCGAAGCCAGAAATTTTGGTTGATGGGGTCGGGGGGTCTTACACGGTGTCTTATATAGATCCGCCCCTTCTGCCGGGGTCTTATTATTTTTTTAATGGGGTCTTACACTGTGAAAAAATTTTGGTTGATGGGGTCGGGGGGTCTTACACGGTGTCTTATATAGATCCGCCCCCGCTGCCGGGGTCTTATTATTTTTTTAATGGGGTCTTACACTGTGAAATTGTGTTACGTACAAGTGGTTCAACACAAAGCGTCGGTGTCGGACGACCCCAACCAGTACATGTAGCTTCGCCACTGCTTTCACATCATTTTCGTCCTCTTTCTCACTAAAAGTTGATATGAAATTAAAGAAAAGACAATAAAAAACTAAGTGGGGACCAAGTTAAGTTTGATTATTGTGCACCCCGAGAAGACAAAATGGACAAATTAATTATTATAATAACCCATGTTTTAATTTAAGTTCTTTGTTCTTTTTCCGAGCTTGTAGTTGTTGATGAGTTGGTTCTCCTTAGCAATGATTTTATATGTGAATTTTTGAGGTGTTACATTGATTTTATTATTGATTTTTTTAGTACTACTATTAGTTTGGCTTTGGCACTTCAATTCCTTTATTATTATGAGCAAAAACTTTATTCTTTATGCAATGGACACCACATGAAGCATGGAGCATGAAGCATGGTGGAATATATGAGAGCAATTTGACATGGCTGAGCCACGAAAGACCCTAATCTTAGCTCTGATATCATGTAAGAAACGTGGGCAACAGGTGCGGTCTCACACATCTGAATCGCACCATAAGAGAATGAGTTTAGATGCGTCTTACTGAGGTTCCATCTCAAAACCGTGTGAGACAACTCACAAATGGTATTATATTGTAACAAATTGAATTTATTTCGATTGGTGGGGTAATTTTTTTTCTTTGAATTGTGATTAAATATAATTTTTTCCAAAAAGAAATTACTATCCTTTTTTTTCTATTTTTTCTCTTCAATCTTATGAATACAACTAGAAGATATAAATAAATCTTTATTGTACATTTCCCAACAAATTTCAAAACTTATCTTTGTTATAATATAGTTTGTGTCATACTATTAAACATATGGAAAAAGAGAGGAAAAACAACAGAGAATAAGATAGAAAATACGAATCCGTATGGTAGATAATTCATTCACATGAGTTATATATAGAGGAATTCGCACCCCATATTCAATTTATATAGCACTTATACATACATTTTATTTTTTATTTATAAGATAGTCAAACCAACACGAAATATTACAAACTAGTACAATACCTGTGTATTACACGGGTGTTTGCTAATTTTTTTCTTAAAATCTAAAATTAATGAGAAAAAGTAGTTGAAAATTTAAATACCTTTTACATATATATATATATATATATATATTATATTTAGTATGATACTTTTTATTTGTGCGACTTACATTGTTATATTATAATAATTTTTTAACTTACAACATATAACTACATTAAAAATAAATATATCAATTGATAAATAATTTTATTTTTCTAATGAATTTTAATAATAATATTATTTTTTATTATTATAAAGATAAATATAATTTATTTATTTCATATATGCAATATGGATGTTACATCGAAGATCATCAAAAGATGATTAATTTGATATTTAATATACGTAAAACCGATAAAAAATACAAACTTTATCAATTTTTAAAATACATTTACAATTCAATAGCTAATTGAAGGAAACAAGTCAAAGTGGGGGATAATTTAATCACTTAGTGTCTCACTATGTAAAATTACAAAGAATTAAAGGGTTATTTTAGTACAAGTGATATTACAATACCTAAGTTAGATAAATAATATTTATGGAATGTCCCAACCTAGATTGTTAATTATTAATATATCAATATTATTTGTCCAAACCTAATTACGAAGCACGATTCTTCGCCAAATAGGATTACGAAGCACCAGAAGCAGCCACGTAGGCTCAACACATTCGGGAATTATATATAGGGAGGATATACCTATATGGTGCAAAATCTTTTTAACTGATACTAAACAATTTTTGGGCAAATAAAATACATTGAGATAAAAAATTGAGATATACTTACCAAATAAATCGGAAAAATTTGCTCTCTCTCTCTCTCTCTCTCTCTCTCTCTCTCTCTAAATCCGAATAATTAATTGTCTCTCTATGTAAAAACCTTCGCCCACGTTCACCATCTCTCAGTTTCGGATCGCAAATTTTTTTATTTTTTTCTGTGAAATCTGATTGCCTTCAGTCCATCCCAAATATTTTATCTGTTTGTCTTCATATCATCGGGTCCTGTCAAATCTGTTAGTCATTTTTTTGTAATCAACAACGAATATATATATATATATATATAAAAGAAAACGAGAGGAAAAACACAAATCTGATTGAGTGCTGAGTGCGATGGATTGAGTGCAACCGATTAAGTGTTGCGTGCGACTGAAAAAAAGAAGAAAAACACACAAAATAATAATAATAATTGCAATCGGTTGCTACATCTGTTTTTCTCCTTTGATTTGTGCTAGTGTGATTGAATGTTGAAGCTGAAGCACCCCTTCCACGTGCACGTGTCTGGCCGATTGCGTCCGTCTCTGTCCCTGCCCGTTGCTTGATTGCATTTGACCGTGCGTCTTGAACCTCGCCCACGTCCAACGGAGTTTGCGACACCGCTGCACCACCTCTTTTCTCTCGCATCCCTCACCCACGTCCAGTGACGGTAGAGACGCTGCAGACGACTCTATATGTTGAGTTTACATTTAATATATGTATGATTAATGATTTTGATGATGTTTCACCTAATGATGTTTCAACTTTTTTGAGAATTTTTTTTCGTTTGATTTATTACTAGTACAACACCCGTGTATTACACGGGTGCTTGCTAATTATTTTCTTAAAATTTTAAATTAATGAAAAAAAGTAGTTAAAAATTTAAATACCTTTTACAAAAATATATATTATTATATATTTAGTATGACACTTTTTATTTGTGCGACTTACCTGTGTTATATTATAATAATTTTTTAACTTACAGCATATGTTAAACATAAATATATCAATTGATTAATAGTTTTATTTTTCTAATGAATTTTAATAAATATTTTTATTTTTTATTACTATAAAGATAAATGTAATTTATTTATTTCATATATACAATATGGATGTTAAATCGAAGATCATCAAAAGATGATTAATTTGATATATAATATATGTAAAACCGATAAGAATTACAAAAGTTATCAACTTTTAAAATACATTTACAATTCAATAGCTAATTGAAGGAAACAAATCAAAGTCAGGGATATATTAGTCACTTAGTGCCTCACTATGTAAAATTACAAATAATTAAAGGGTTATATTAGTACAAGTGATATTAAAATACATAAGTTAGATAAATAATATTTATGGAATGTTCGAACCTAGATTATTAATTATTAATATATCAATATTTGTCCAAACCTAATTACGAAGCATGATTCTTCGCCAAGTAGGATTCCGAAGCACCAGAAGCAGCCACGTAGGCTCAGCGCATTCGGGAATTATATATAGGGATGATGTTGTGGGATACGTTGCGTTTATATATAATATATTTTTCAGTATATGTTCCGATAAGCACAATCGGCAGTATATGTTGCGTATATAGACTAATAGACAAAATATATGTTCAATATATGTTGTCGTTGCTAGTGCTTCTTGGTGTTTATAATCTAGCATGTGGTTCATTTGTTTATAATATACTCTACATATACTCTGTATAAGTAACTTGTTTATAATATGTTTATAAATTATATATATACTTTTATGTTTTTTTTTTTGATGGATTTTTTGTATATATGTATGATTTATTTTTTTAGTAAAACTATTTACAAAGCATAGATGTAAAATAAACAATACGTAAACTTAACATATACTAACTATTCAAAAACTGATATAAAAACAAACATAAGCTGAATTCTTTTTGTTGTGTATATGTATGGTTTATATACATAGTACATTCATCTACGTAACCGTTATTAAAGAATTCTCGGCATGTAAAATGTGATTAAGATTTATATTCAATA